GGGACTGGGGATTTTATGAGCAGCTAGAAATGCATTCTTGTATTACAAAAGAGTTTTCAGGAAATTATCTTCTATAATTTCTGTTGGCTTATGTTTTCTTTGAATAACTTGATAGACTTCTTGTTGGGCTTGCATAATGATTTGTAAAAGAAAGTGAGGAGCAACTAAAGTTGATTTCTACTAGTTTACATTTGATGATCTTTCTTCCAATGGGGATTGTTGATATGTTTGTAATGGAGAGTGAGGAGCAACTGAAAACTCCGACTAGCATGCATGTGATGATCCCTCTTCCAATGGGAATTGATAATATCTTTCATTCAGTTATTATCTACTTATTGGGGAATGAGGAATGATCGAAGTCATATCCTACTAACATAAATTTGGTAACACCTGTTCCTACGGGGTTTAATCGAGGATCATCTCCTTTGATTTTGTCTGACTAATTTAATCAGTTGAGAAAATCTCAAAATTTGAATCACTTGACTTATCAAGCTGGATAAGTTTAAGCAAGACAACTATTATCATTAGATGGACAAAACATAGTCTTATTCACTATCACCGTTTTTATGACTTGTTGAGTGAAGAGTACTGTCATCGACTCGACCATATTTGAGCTTGTTTAGTCCGACCTTCAAGACTTGCTTGTGTCTGAGACTTGGGCTGTAAACGAACTTTTGCTTCTTCAACTTGATATGTTAAAGATCACCAGCTCAAAATTCTCTCATGACTTTCTCAATTATGATAAGTTTGAGAGATGAATCAATAGCTTTGAGATTGTCTTATTTATACTTTGCTTGAAGATAGACTCATTTTTGCTCAAATTGACGGAGTATAACTTTGGTATCAATATGGTGAAAAATTCAATTGGAGATCTCACATCCAACATAATTTCAACCCAAGTGATAAAGTATAGAATATGTTTGGGGTTCTCAACTTGAAGTTCGACATAATAGGAGAAAAATATATTTAGGGATATCGGCCTAGTGCTCGATGTCAACCAAATGAAATAAGTGGCCCCTTATCCTGATAATATGGTAAATCCTAATGCTAGCTAAATATATTTGAGGATCTTAGCTTACAGCTCATGTCAACTCAAATAAATATATATATTCCCTTTTATCTTAAAAATGAAGAATATCAGAGGCCATCTTTGAGCTTGATACAAAGGTTGAACTAGCGTCTTTTGTTTTATACTTCAACTTAATCATACTTGTTGAAGAAGAGAGGAATTCCTTGAGTAAGAGCTTAATGCTTGTTCTGTCTTATTGAAGAAGCTGCTTTCAGTTGGCTTGATGTCTTATTAAGCAAGGATCATCTTATTTGACTTTTATCTTCATTTTTAGATCAGGTGAGAAAATTTGATGCATCTAAATCATTTGACTTTCTTAAGCTGGGTAGACATGCTTTTGTTGTCGTTAGACTGACCAACGGGGCTCTTCACCATGACCTTGGCTGGTAGTGAAGAGAAAATCAGTAACTTGACCACCTCTTAGCTTGATAAGTCTGGCCACCGTCTGAGTCCTAGACTTTAGCAGTAAATAGTCTTACTGACAATCGAGACTCTTCACTATAATATTGGCTTGTTCAGTGAAGAGAAAATGCCAATAACTCGACCACCTCTTGGTTTGATGAGTCTGGCCTTCACCTGAATCCTTGACTTTAACAATGAATATGCTTGTGCTTTATCGTCACAGACTCACAAACGAGGCTTTTCACTACGACATTGGCTGATAGTAAAGAGAAAAGCCAGTAGGTCAGTTATCTCTTGGTTTGATGAGTATGGCCTCCGTTTGAGTCCTAGACTTTAGCATAGGATACTTTATGCTTCTCCAACTTAATTGCACAAACTTATAGATTTTCACAGATTTTCTCACTTGGCATTTTAAATCTCAGCGAGTTTTGAAGATGTGCCTCTAACATTTAGAATCATCTTATACATCTTGTTTGGAACTTATTCTTTTTGGATTATTAAACTTAACACAACTTTATCATTGACAATTTGAACATCGTCTCAGGGGTCTTGGCACACAACATGATGTCACACGCGTTACTTGGGGATATCAGAGGAAGAAGAAGCCCTTTCGCGATTTGGACTATTGAATGAAGCAGGAGCTCTTTGCGACTCGGAGGAGCTCCTCACATGCAACTCCAAAAACAGAAAGGAAGCTCGTGAAGGCGGCCAACCAAAATGAACTGGGGGTATTTTTTTTAAGGCATCGACTTAAGAAACTATTTATAGCTAAGGGAAGGCTTGGGCGGATGTGGCATACCTAGGTGGCGCTGAGTTGGCGTTGAGGTGGCTAGGGAAGGAAAAATCAATTATACAACTTAATTAATTATGTAAGAGTATTATATTATTTCACACTTTTATGTTATGTTTAGTTTTAAATTATACAACTTAATTAATTATGTAAGAGTATTATGTTATTTCACACTTTTATGTTATGTTTAGTTTTATTATTCTATTTTTAATGAAATTGAATTATTTTATTATTATTTCTTATTTTGTTTCAATTTTATTTTAAGTTTATATTGAATGATTTCGTATTTCTTTTATTCAATTTTAAGTCATTTTAGAATTTGGATTAATTATATCTCAATTTTATTTTGTTTATAATTTCAATTTTATATTTGAATCCTTATTTGCATTGATTAAACTTTTTAAAAAATTTTTATTCGGAATTGCTTTAAAATTTTCAAAGCTTAGAACTCTTTTATTATTATCATTTATTATTATTATTTTATTTAATTACAAGTTTGTTAAAAATTTAATTTTATTTATGTTTAACTAAAAATTTAATTAAAATTATATGATTTGATTGATTTTTTTTAGATGTGATTTTTTTTATTAATTTCAGTTTGAATTTAAAATTTTTCGATTTTGATTTATGTATTCAAATCGAAACCTATCTAATTTCATTTTAATCAATTAAAGTTTCTATTTTAAATTAAAATCCAACCATGGCTTTTAAAGTGATCGTGAAACATATTCGAATTCATTTCGAACCAAATGCGTAAATTAAGAGCAAACATTAAGCTCAATTGAGTAATTTTTATATGATCGAAAGACACTTAAAGCATAAAGTCAAGTCTCTAAGTTTGAAAATGTTGCTTAGGACATTTTAATCCTACAGGAACTCAACTCGAGCTTCAATAATTTGACCTTAATCAACTCAAACAAAGCTTGAGGATTCAAGGTCAAATGCATAAAACTACAAGGAGTTAAGAAATAATTCAAATTTCTAGTTGGTATGGGCCCCAACACTAGTCATCTAGGCAAAGCCACTAAGAATTTATGAGGCTAGACCCTAATAGAGCGAGAAAGAGACAAACCTCATAAAAATGAGGTCAACATAGATATACCAGATGTATTGATATAATCCATATTATTTGGCTTGCTCAAATTTAATTGAGATTGTAAGTTTCTTTGCCTTCCTAGAAGTGAATGGTTTATATATTCTATTGAATGACAATTGCAACTGGAAAATGTTGCTTTTAAAAGAAAAAGTTTTTCTTAATCTCACATGTTTGCCTGTGAAAATTTTTGTTGTTCAGATATCTATTGCTTTTCCTGACGATGGCTCATGGAAGCGATTTCATAAACAACTTCAGCATTTCCCAGTGGTAATATGTCAGTCAAAGGAATCCTTTTAATGGAATGGCATGATCTATCTGGCAGTATTATGTTATTTTGATTATGAGAAATCTTGATTCTCAGATTGTCTGTACCAAAGTTAGGGAAGGTGACCAACGATTTGTACGGTTGAAAGAGGGAGACCCTAGAGGTCGCCATGTTGTTATAGTTGATGACTTTGTACAATCAGGAAGTACACTAGTTGAATGTCAGGTAGGAAAGTTCTTTCTGACATTCTATTTTCCGTAGTTTTTGCTCATTATATTAAAATATCTCTCTTTTTCACAATTGCTTGCCTGTGTTTTTTTTTCTGTTTGTTATACTTTTATATTTATATTTGACTCTAGTTTGCATCTGTACGCAATTTTTTTAGAAAGTACTAGCAGCTCATGGAGCGGCAAAAATCAGTGCCTATGTAACACATGGAATCTTCCCAAAGAAAACATGGCAGCGATTTAAGTATGATGATGGAGGTATTTTTTCTCAGTGAGATTAGTTGATTTGTCAACATTATTTTGTTATTTTTTTTACCATTTCTATTAGAATGTAAAGCTTTTGGCTGGTAAAGCTTTTGCAGAATGTAAAGCTTTTGGCTGGCCCTTCAATGTTTTTTTTTTTCTGTCAAATTTTTAGTGCCCGAAATAGTTAAAATGCAGAGAGAGTGCAAAGCCGAGAAAATTCCACAATAATTTGCATACATGCTTTGGTCATAGGCTTGTACACATTATTTTGTTTAGTAGTAACTACTGTTTGGTCACTTAATCTTTGATTCAAACAATGGAGACCTATGGTTGGTCCTCTTGAATGAAGGGAATTGCAATGACATGTAGAGTCGAGGATGGGCATGAAGATTATATTGGAGTCCAAAGAGGACTTCAACCTAACTCTGACAAGAAACAATAATCTAACAAACTAGTTAATGGGCTAGATTTTTCTGAGTTTTAATCTCAAAGTGATTACCTGGTTATTTGTAGGCAATTTAATCATAGAGCATCACATTTATCTAATTTAGTTCCCTAAGCATACAAACATTGATCCAAAATAGTTCCTTAAGAATTAAGTTGAGAATTTTTTTTCATATTCAAGGAACTTTATTGGAGTTGATTTTGTATCTATTTGAGGGATCATTTTGGATCAATTTTGTGTAGTTGAGGGCCTATATTGAAGAAATGGATACTCTGTAATTTAATTAGTTGCGTGCAAATAATCAGGAGATTGATTGGATTTAATCTTATTATTCTTTGTTAGGCTTTGATGTAATTCATATTTGAGGAGTCTTGAAATTAATTATGAGGGAAGATCAAAATTTTTGCGTACAGGGTGGTGGATTACTTAGCTTTATAACCTAGCATTGGTTAATAAAAAATACAGTAATTGATATTTACCGACTTCCGAATCTTAGTAAATGAGCCGTTGATATCTACTTCATTTTGTACCATTGATTCCCTTTCAAATTATTAGATTTATTGTTGTCACGTCCTGGCTCGGGACTTGTAATTAACAAAGGCGGGTACACACGGTTGGACAGTGAAAATTTAATTTTATATAACTAACATTTTAATAATGAAAGAGCTAGAAGCAATGTAAAACTGTTAAATTTTTCTTATTTTTGATTGACCGAGTCTTCTATAAATATTTTCTCTTATATCGCACATCTTTAATTAATTAATTAAATCTGAAATATTAGTTTAAAATAACAACAATTAATGAATGAAAGTACACATACCTCAAATGAAAAACCGAGGATATTTTTCTTGCATCTCATAGACTTTCTCCCAAGTAACATTCTTCTCCAGTACATGCGTCCATAAAATTTTCACAAAAGGGATCTCTGTTCCGCAGCTTCTTCACATCATTATCCAAATTTCTTTCATGCTCCGCAACATAAGTAAAATCAGGTTGTATGTAAAATGAGTCTACTAGCTTCAACTGCAATATATTTTCTGAGTGCAAAAATGTGAAAAATATTATGCACTTTTTGCATATGAGATGGTAAAGCCAATCTGTAAGCTACATTTCTAATCCTCTCCACAATATCAAATGGACTGACAAATTTGGGGCTTAATGTTCCGGCCTTCCCAAAATGTTGCACACCCTTCAATGGACTCACCTTGGTAAAAAGAAACTTTTCAATTTCAAATTCAACATGTCTGTGCTTGGCATCGTAATGTTTTCTCTGTCTATCCTGCACTGCCCTCAATCTCTCTGATCAGTCTAATCTTCTCAGTAACATCATCAACCAAGTCAGCTCGATGAACTTTTTTTGTTAACATAATTGTATTTTGCACTTCCTTCCATACAAGCTTATTATGGAGCCATCACAATGCTAGCCTGGTAACTGTATTACAAGCAAGCTCTCTTAATGTTTTATGTGATTCTCAGGCTCCACCAAAGTCAATGACACAACCTTAGTAGATCCTACAAGGTATGAATATTCCCCTCTGACTGACCATATGTCTGAGGGTGAAATGTTGTACTTAAAGTCAGTCATGTGCCCAACGCTTCCTGAACCTTTTTCCAAAACCTGGAAGTAAATCTGCCATCTCTGTCGGAGATAATAGAACACTCTATGCAATCTCACAATTTAATCCACATACAACTTGGCTAGCTTCTCCATTGGATTTGTCTGTCTTATGGGCAAGAAATGGGCAGACTTTGTCAGTCTATCAACAATTACCCAAATACCATCTCGGCCCTATCACGAAATTCATCGCAATCTCTTCCTATTTCAACTCAGGAATCAATAAAGGCTGCAACTTACCTCTAGGAAGCTAATGTTATGTCTTTATTAACTGACAAGGACACTTAGCCACAAATTCTGCAACACTACTCTTCAATTTCGGTCAACAAAATGCTTATTTGAGACCTTGACACGTTTTATTGTGCCCTGGATGAATTTTGTAGCCAGATAAATGTGCTTGCTCCAGAATTTCCTTACTCAAATTATCAACATTTGGAATATAAACCATGCCTTTATATCTCAATAAATCATCCCGATCCGGCAAATACCTCTGCAAAGTGCTCACTTTAACCCACTCCGGGATTTTCTGAACACTGCACGTAATCTAGGCAACCCAATCACGAAACTCATCGCAATCTCTTCCTATTTCAACTCAGGAATCAATAAAGGCTGCAACTTACCTCTAGGAAGCTAATGTTATGTCTTTATTAACTGACAAGGACACTTAGCCACAAATTCTGCAACACTACTCTTCAATTTCGGTCAACAAAATGCTTATTTGAGATCTTGACACGTTTTATTGTGCCCTGGGTGAATTTTGTAGCCAGATAAATGTGCTTGCTCCAGAATTTCCTTCCTCAGATCATCAACATTTGGAATATAAACCATGCCTTTATATCTCAATAAATCATCCTGATCCGGCAAATACCTCTCCAAAGTGCTCACTTTAACCCACTCCGGGATTTTCTGAACACTGCAATTTATGTCTAAAGAATATTCAATTCAGCCCTTCTAAGTTGATTGCACTGACAACTGATATGATTAAATGATACTGTCATCACCATAATCAACTATAGATAGTTTCAACTTTTTTAGGTCTTCAAGTAACTACCCTACTGAGTAAACAAGTAATTCAAATTAATTGAAGCTTTCCTACTTAGCACATCTGCAACCACATTTGCCTTTCTCGGATGGTAGTGAATTTCCAAATCATAAACTTTAATAAACTCTAGTCATCTTCTCTGCCTTAGGTTCAGTTCTTTCCGAGTAAAAACTTACTTCAAACTCTGGTGGTCAGTAAATACCTCGTATCTCACTCCATGTAGATAATGCCTCCATATCTTGAGTGCAAATACAACTGTTGCAAGCCCCAAATCATTTGTGGGATAATTTCTTTCATAATTCTTCATTTGTCGTGCTGCATATGCAATTGGTTCTACCAAGCTTCATAACTACACAACCCAAACTCCTCAAAGATACTTCGCTGAAAATCTGAAACCTATAAGAACCTGAAGGAATGACCAAAACCGGAGTAGACATTAAGCAAGTCTTTAGCTTCTAAAAAGCCTCCTCAAAATAATCTGACAATTTGAATTTTACTACCTTTTGAGTCAATCTTGATAATAACACAGCAATCTATGAGAACCCCTCGACAAATCTCCCGTGATACCCCGCCAAACCTAGAAAGCTCCTGACCTCAGTGATAGTAATAGGTCTTGGCCAAGTTGCGATTGCCTTGACATTATTCTGATCCACAAAACTGTCCTCACTGATAATGTGCTCAAGAAAATCACACATTTAAGCCAAAATTCATATTTAGAAAATTTAACATAAAGTCTATTCTCCTTCAAGACCTGTAGGACATGTAAATGATTTATATAGCTGGCTTCATCACTTGAATACACTAGAATATCATCTATAAAAACAATCACGAAAGTATCTAAAAACTATATTTAAACCCTGTTCATCATGTCCATGAGAACTACTAGTGCATTTGTCAGTCAAAATGACATCACCATGAATTCATAGTGCCCATATCTTTTTTTGAAAGCAATTTTTATTTTGTCTTCTTCTTTAATCTTTGACTAGTGATAACCTGACCTCAGATCAATCTTTATCAATCCTCGGCAGTAGATATTTGTTTTTAATTGTGAGCTTATTCAACTCTCTGTAGTCAATGCACATTCTGAAGCTCCCACCTTCTTCAGAAATAATACTGGAGCTCATCAAGGTGAGGTGTTAGGTTTGATGAACCCCTTATCTAGCAACTCCTACAGCTGGCTCTTGAACTCCTGCAACTCTTTAACTGACATTTTATACGGTTCCTTGGATATTGACTCAGAACCCGGTAAGAGCTCAATAGTGAAATCAATCTCTCAAACTGGTGGTAACCCTGGTAAATCATCAAGAAAGACTTTTATATATTCTCTTACCACCGGAGTATCACCCAAAAACTGTACTTCCTTGGAAGTATCCATTACTTGAGCAAGAAAACCTTGATTTGCACGATTTAAGAATTTGTAACCTTTCAAACAGGTAATTATCATACATGTCAATCTTCTATCACCACAAAATTTATCGTATGCTTCCCTGTGTATATTTATGTGATGGTCTTCTTATTGCAGTAAATAGTGATAGTTTTTAGAGATTCAATCCATGTTTAAAATCACCTGAAATTCCACCAGGGTTAACACAGTAATTTGTGCCTCAAAATCTTTTCCGTCAATCATAAGTTTCGCTTTACATGATTGACTAACTTCCAGAAAAACATCATTTGAATTCTAAATGAGAATATCATAGGTATAGAAATGATACTCAAATCACATCACTTTAATCAGTTCCTCAGCTATAAATGAGTGTAATGCTTCTAAATCAAACAATACTCCTATGGGCCTACTCTGAAGATATATGATGCATTCATTTATATCATTGCATTGAATATTTAGAGTCGAATTATTAATATATTAAAGTTCTTACAGGTTATTACGAGTGATATGACTTAAATTTTATTTTGCTAAAAAATTGAATGTGGTTAAAATTCTTGAAACATACTGGTGATAACTTTTTGAGAGTCCTAAGCTTCCTTCCGTGAAAATATGCATAAACCATGGGTTGGACATTCTGTTGGGTCTGAATAGGATTCGACACACCCTGAAGATTCAGCTATCCGCATACCATTGCTCTTCTGAGGTGGTGTGACATTGCTTTTGAATTTTGCTGGAGACCTCTGACTTAATCCAGAATAGTTCCTCGCCATGTCCTAGCGGG